TGATTGCACGAGTGCAAATTCCCCCAAAATTTCCCTGAAACCTTCCATTACAGAGCTGAACTCTAGCAGTAATTCAGGCTGGTACCTGTTTGTTTACCTCGGTTGAGATTATCTGTTAGATCCTATGGGTGGGTGAATCACCCTGTACTACAGGGTGCAGCTGGCTGTCCCCAGGAGGGGACTCAGCAGCTCTGCAGAGGGGCTGCTCCCAGCACTGCCCTTTCCCTGCCCTCCTTGGCTGGCTGCCTTCACCGAAGAGAAGTTTCAGGTGGGAGGACCAAGAGCAGCCAAGTGAGAGGCTGTTTCCTCTGCCACACAGCGCAGCTGTAGCTGCTGTGCTGCCTGTGTGCACCACGGGTTCACAAAGCCCAGGAGGATTTGCTTGGGTAATGCAGAAAAATCTCTCTGCAAGAGAGCAAGGAGGGGGTTCCTGCAAATTCTGAACAGAGGTGCTGGGAAGACTCGTCATGGGAAACAAGCAGGAGGACAAGAATGTTTGGAATTAATCTGGCAGGCATGAATGAGTGTCACCATGAAGCCACCAACAACCAAGTGACATTTAGCACACGGTGGAGACTCGCTGTCAAATCTCATTAACTGCATCCTTGTGTCACAGCAGACAGCTCTGCCCACAGCTCAGAGACCACAGCATTACACTGCAAAAATCATTCATGAGCCAGCTGCTGGCTCTGGAAGGAGCCGTAGAATGAAGGAGAAAAAGGGAATTTGTTCACATCATTCAGAAACCTGGACTAACCAACATTCTGTCCAGGTCCCTTGCAGCCCTGGCACCAATTCCTGCACGGAGAAGTGAGGCAGCCCTTCCTGACAAGCATTTGCAGGAGCTGTGCCCACCTCTCTGTGTGTCACTGGTGGGTGCTGAAAGGGCACAAAAATGGCATTCAACCTGCAGGAGCCTCTGATGCCCCCTCCCTCCTTGTGCTGCTGCCATGTGCATGCAAAGCTCATTCATTATTTTTCATCTCTCCCCAGCCACTGATTAAAGAGGCATCTCACCCAGTTCCCCATCCCAGCAGAGTCCTCTCCTCCTCTGCTTTGGCAGCTGTTTTTCCTTCTCCTCCCGGCCCATTTGCCTGCTGTTGTCTGGCTAATTATTTTTACAAGGCTCAATAATTGCTGCAATCTTGCCCATTTCTCATCCCCTTCCCGCAGCGGTGTCTGGCAGGCAGGAGCCCCTGCAGCAGCTGTGCTCCTTGGCTGCCCACCCACCTCCTGCCGGCAGCAGGGTGCCAGAGCAGGGCTGTGCAGCCTACTCCTCTCTTTGCCTTTCCCTGGGCTCCTCGTTAGCCACAGCAGCAGCTCTGGGAGCCACTTAGCAACGTGCCAAGCCCTGATGTCACCAGCAGAAACAGCATCTCAAAACACCCAGGTGTCTCGTGGTCAGCCAAAGCATCGGGGTCGTGGGGCTCCATTCCTCAAAACCTGCTGCTTTGGAGAATTGTCCTGGACTCGCTGGCAGTGAGGCAGCAGCACAGTGATTTCAGATTGAAAATGATCTCCCGTTCCTCAGTGGTCACACTGGCTAGAGCACAGGGCTCCTGCTGCCTCCCAACGTGCAGCACTGGACAAGAGCACAGATCAGACACCGAGGTGACCCAGGCCTGTGGCAGAGCAGCTCCCGCAGCCCTGCCAGTTATTCACCTGTGAAGATGAATTACAGGTTTTAGACAGCTTTCTCCACGTTTTGCCATCTACTTATGGTCAAACAAGCCATTTCCCCCTCTCAAAACAGCAGGCAGGACACAGGGCAGCAAATACAGGAATTACACTGACAGCACAGTTCCTAACGCAACTTCTTGGTGTTTTAAGAATGCTGCCAGGCCCCTAAAAACAGAAGTCACAGCTCTTGAGAATTTTCAGTTCTTTGTGAATTTTCAGATAATAAGTGACACTGCTCTCAGTTTGGGAACCACTTCCCTGAGAGTTCACTCTTGTCCAGCTGTGCAAGCTGGTGGAAAGGGAGGGCAGCTCCTCCCTGCTGCTCCTCAGACCAGATCCTTCCTCATTTCACACACTTTGCAAGCCTGGACTGCATGGTGGCTTTCCAAGCCTCAAATCCCAGATCCTGCAGAGCCAGCACCAGTGATTCAACATTCAGCATGGTCCTGACACTGGGTACCCCCGGCTGATTATCACAAGACCCCTAAGAACAGGACAAATTCTATGTTTGTCCACTCAAGAGCAGCTGAGGAAAACAAAGAGGAGAATGCATGGATAGCTCTGCTGCACCAGGCAGGGCGTTCATGGGGAGCACACAGACAGCACAGAGCCACCTCTGTGGGACAGAGTCACACCTGGGCAGCACACAAACACCCCCTGCCTTTTCCAGGGCCTGCACCCACACCTCTGCAGGTGTTCCCAGGGGTTTCTTCCAACCGCCAGCCCCGTCCTGCTCCCTTGCAGCTTGTTGTTTCTAAGAGCAGTGGTGTGAAAAAACAGGAAGCCATGCAGAGAAGAGGAGAATACAGATTGAGGCATGAAACTGCAGTAGCCCCGGCTCCCCCTGCGCTCACCCCACCCCCTCTTCCCTTCCCACCCCCTCACCACAGCCGCCCTCGGTGAGAAATGCTCAGCTCTTGCCGGGAACCCGGGTGCGGAGCTGGCCGGAGAGCTCGGCACGAGGGGAAACCCAGCACAGGGCACTGCAGCTCCCCGGGCACCAGGAGGGCCCCAGTCGGGCTCTGCTCCACACCCGCTCCATTCGAGCCCTCCAGGAAAAGTTCCTAACTCCCCCGTCCTCAAAAGCTCAGGTTTGCTGCTTCAGAGATGCCCCGAGGAGCGTTCTGCAGGCTGAGCTCCATCCGCTGCAGTCCCAACAGTGCTTGCAGCACTCCATGCCCATGTAATTGTTTAAGGAATGAGGGTCCTGAGGCACATCTCTTTATTGAAGGAAGCCAGCAGATCCTCTTGTCTACAGCTCTCCATTCACAGCTCTCCCAGCTCACCCCACGCTGGCAAATTGTGACACAAATTTTATGTTTTGCAGGACTCTTCATTGCTCACACCCTTATCTCTTCAGTCTCCAACACAAGGCTGAGAGATTGAAAGGGTGGAGATGGAGAAAGAGCAAGAAGTCAGGGCAGAAACACTGGTAGGGGACAGAAAAGTCAAGCAAGCCACCAAAACCACACCAGGACCTCAGCTTCCACGGCAGAGAAAATATTCCCAGCTCCACCCAGCACATAACCATGGCTGTGCTATGTCTGGATACACCAGGAAAGGAGGAAAGGCCTTGGGAATCCTGGTGTTGCTGAAAGCCAGGACAAAGCCAAGCACCACACACAGCCTCGCTAGTGCTCCAAAATCCAGGAGAATTCAGGTGGGATGAGCCTGCAGAGCCCGGGCCACAGAGGGGGCACAAATGGCCGGGCACATCCCACGTAAAACCATGGTTAATCTGTAAAACCAAGGATGAAGGACAGGCAGGAGGCCACACAAAGAATTAGACAGTCTGATATCTGCTGGTGGGAAAGGGGAATGCTCTCTTTCCTTAGTCCTGCCCAAAGCCTCTCTGCTGTTCACAAGGGCATGTGCTGGGCTGGAGTTTATTTATAAAACCTATAAGAATGTTGATCTAAGGCTATAACCCTCAGAAAAATAAGCAGAGGTCAGTTTTTCTAAATGCAGTCACAAACCCCAGGGAGAATCTCACCAGAAGGACCCTGGGCTTTCAGAGGGAAGCAGAACTCAGGAGAGGCCCCAGCACTTGTGAGCTGCCCAGAAAAGCGTGCAAACCATGAGCCATCCCCTGGTCCAAGTGCAGCCCATGCTGCAGCTTTCTGTTCCAGCCACAGGAGCGAGGCAGGGCCTGCAGGGGGCTCGAGGGTGCCTGAATGAGCCTGGGGGGATTCCCAGCCCCTCTCTCTGCTGGCAGAGGTGGCCAGCCTTCCCAGGCTCTTAGATTTATTTTTGTCTTTTTAAATCACCGATGAGGAAAGATGCTGCTACAAGTGGTGATTCAGAGCAGGGCCTTTATCTAAATGCTCTGAATCATGCTTTGTGAGACCATCCCTGCTGACAACCAGGAGCCTCTGGAGAGGGCAGACAGCAGTGGTTAACTCTCGTGTGCATCAGAGCACCCCCGTAAGAGGCTGAGCTGTTTGCTCGGCTCATTATCCAAACAAAACAAAGAGCCGGGGCGGGTGCAGCTGGAGGAGGAAGAACTCGCAGTGTGCAACCCAAATGTTTAACCCGCAAACAATCAGCCACGGCCATCCACTGCTCTGATCGGGATTGCCACGAGCTCCTCACCTGAGGGAGAACTCGCCAGGCCCAGCACGGTGGGGATGCTGCTGGGTGGGCAGGAGGAGCCCCGCAGCTGCGGATGGTGCTGACCCTTCCCATCTCCATTCCCATCTCCATTCCCGTGTCCCATCTCCCATTCCCATCCTCGGGCAGGCTTTCAGAAGCTCTCTTTGGCGCCCATCCACGGTTCCGTTTTCCGGGGGTCCCGGTGCTGGGCGGGGGCCCCTCGGGGCCGCCCGGGCCACCCCGGGGTGCGGCACCCACGCCCCATCCAGCGGCACCGGGAGAAGCTGCGGGGCCCAGGCCAACCTGTCCAGCGGCAGGTTGCTGTAAACGGCAGCAAATACCTGCACAAAAGCGCTTTATTGCTGTGTTCCCCCCGTCTGGGCTGGGCCCTGCCCCAACACAAGGCACAGAGGGACGAGAATTCCCCGCTCGGAGCCCACTAAAGCCAAAGGTGCCCGAGCGCCTGGCAGCCGCGGGCAGAGCCCCTGGGAACACCCGGCTACGAAATTCACTTTACACACGCTTACAGCCTCTCATTTTTAAGGGAACAATCCCGGCAGGAGCTATCGTTACTCGGGGGCACAAAAAAGCAGCTCTGCCGGGGCCAGCCCGAGGGAACAAACCCAGCTGGGGATCGGGACACCCACCCAAAACTCGGGAACAAACTGAGCTTGGGACACCGACCTGAAACCCAGGGGAACAAACCAAACCCAGCTCGCGACACCGACCTCACGGAGAAACGGCCACGGCTCGGCTCGGCTTGGCTTGGCTCGGCTCGGTCCTTCCCGGCAGGTGGATGGTGCTGGGCCGCTCCAGAAGCACCCCCAGGTCAGGCACAGGAGTCTGGGGGGACCCCCGGGCTGTGGGGACCCTCCCGAGCTGCAGGTGTGAGGGTGAGGAGGGTGAGGGGCGCTGCCCCTGCCCCCTCCCCTCAGCTCACCTGGGCGCAATCACTGCCGGCCCTTCGGAATTGGGCACAGCTGCCACTCGGCTGCAGGAGAGGGTTTTCTTCTTAAAACAAAACAAAACAAAAACAAACAAACAAACAAAAAAACACCAACAAAAAACCCCAAAGAACAAAAAAAACCACAAAACACAAAAACCCAAACAAAAAACAAAAACAAAACAACAAAGCAAAAACAAAAACAAACAAACAAAAACAAACAACAAAAACAAACAGAAAATAAAAAAAATAATAATAAAAAAGAGAGTGGAAAAAAACCAACAAAAAACCCCCAATGAACCCAAAAAACCCAAACGGAAAAAAAACAAAACAAAAAAAAACCCCCCCAAAAAAAAACCAAACCGCAAAAAACAACCCCAAAAGCACCACCAAAACCCCCAGAGAAGCCTTCTTTAAAAGCCCCTCCTGGGGCTGGTCTCAGCCTGCCCTGGGCCCAGCACAGGCTCCTGAGGGTTCCATGCACTGGACCTGGGCAGTGGAAAACACAACTGTGTTTCCAGCACTGTATTCATCGTGTTGGTGGGATTTAAATACGACGTTTAGAATCAGTTTTTAAGTATAAAAGTTAAAAAATAACAACTATAAAGCTGAATTTTAGTTGTATCATCTTTCAAGGAAAGCATCAACATAATTTAAATGCTTTCAGAAGGCACAACTCTTAGGAAATACTCTTTATTAATATAACATACAACAAGTGCTGCTCCTCACATAACAGTATTTGAACTCTTCTCTCTCATAAACTTAAAACAGGGTTCTTGTTGGAAGCATATCTTGTCTCTGAACCCTTATTTTGAGAGAAAAGCATAAAAACTACTCCCCCTGAAATCAAAAGGGAAGAGATCCTTATGCAGTAATTACAGCATTGTTTATAAGAAACACATTAACAATGAACGTATGCAAACATACATAACCAGCAACAATATAAAAAAGTATGAAAAATCCCATAAAAATTTAAACTTTAAGTACAAACCTACAAGATTTCCAGTATTAATCCAAGTGTCTTTGGTATTTGTTGGTGTTTAAGGGATTTTCCACGTAAAACAGACCTATACTGCTTTTCCATAGACCTCGAAAGAAAACCTCCAAAATAAATTAAGGACTCTTGAAAAAACAAGTTCCCTGCACGAGGCAAGGGCTGGCCTGTGCAGGACGCTTCCGACCCGGAGGAGGCGGCACCGCTCGGTGCTGCAGCTGCCGCTCAGGACACCAAAATGACAATTCTCTCTTTGGGGCGGTGGAGAAGCCTCCTCGGGGCGGGCAGGAGCGGGGCCAGGACGGGTCCCGGTGGCTCTCAGGAGCCCCGAGCCCGGCCCGGCTCTCAGCGGAAGGCGGGGGACAGCCGGGCCCCGCGGTCTCCGGTCCCCGGCGCCCAGGCCGGCAGCGGCAGCGGCGGCCCCGGGCAGCGGCGGGGCAGCACCAGCAATGCCCAGGGCCCCGGCGGCCAGCCGGAGCGGGGGCTCGGCGAGCATCCCGGGGGGCGGCGGGAGCCAGGGGGCGGAGGGGCCCGGGGGGATCCCGGGGGACAAGGCCACTCCGGGGCATGAGGCCACCCCGAGGAGCGAGACCATCCCGGGGGACGAGCCCATCCCGGGGGATGAGGCCATCCTGGGGGACGAGGCCACCCCGGGGGATGAGCTCATCTCGAGGGGCGAGCCCATCCCGGGTACCGAGCCCATCCCGGATACCGTGCCCACCCCGGGTACCGTGCCCACCCCGGGTACCGAGCCCACCCCGGGTACCGAGCCCACCCCGGGGCGCGGTGCGATGCCGGGGGGCGGCGCGGGCGATGCGGACGGGCGGCGGCAGAGGCGGCGGCGGCGGCCGTAATTCCCCTCCGGGAACATGTCCTGGAAAGCGGGGTCCAGCGCCCACTCTCCGGAGCGGCCGCGGCGGCAGGGCAGCCGTCGGAAGCAGGGGTGGAGGCTGAGGTTGTGGCGGACGCTGTTCTGCCACTGGCGACCGGCGCCGCGGTAGAAGGGGAAGCGCTCCGCGATGTAGGCGTAGATGCCGCTCAGGGGCAGCCGCTGCCCGGGGCTGGCCCGGATGGCCATGGTGATCAGCGCCACGAACGAGTAGGGAGGCCTCTGCGGCCACCCCGCCGTGCCCGGCCCGCTGCCCGGCTCCGCGATGCGCTCGGTGATGCCCTCGGTGCCCGGCCCGGTGATGCCCTCGGTGCCCAGCTCGGTGATGCACTCGGTGCCCAGCTCGGTGATGCATTCGGTGATGCCCGCGGTGCCCGTTCCGGTGCCCGGCTCGGTGATGCATGCAGTGATGTATTCGGTGATGCCCTCGGTGCCCGTCCCGGTGCCCGGCCCGGTGCCTGCCACCCTCCACTCGCCGGGCTCCGTCTCGGCCATGGCCCCGCGCTCCGCTCGCCCCAGCGCCGCGGGCCCCTCTAAACCCTCTCCCTTCTAAACCCTCTCCCCTAACCCTCTCCCCTAACCCTCGGAAAAAAACCCTTCCCGGCCCAGCCCAGTCTGGTCGGTTCGGGGTCGCCGCCGGGTCAGGACGGGCCCGGCGGGGGCTGCGGGCACGGCTCGGGCACGGCTCGGGCACGGCACGGCCGGGCTCGGTCCCTGCGAGCGAGGCCGGTGCAATCCCCGGTTTCTGCCCCGGTTTCTCACCCGCTGCACAGCCCCCCGCACAGCCCCCAGCCCGCACCATCCCGGGGCTGCTCCGGTCCCGCCGGCCCGGAGGGGGATGGAGGAGCTGCTCCCCTGCAGCAACGCGGATTCTGACACTGTGGCACCTCGGCAAGCCTTCAAATCCTTCAAAGTACACCTGTGTGTGCAGGACCAGGAGCGAGCTGCTGCCAGTCATTTAATTAAAATACATCCTCCTTTAAGAAGTGTTGATTTGATCAGCTTATGGTGCATGCCCCCTAATTTATGTTACAAAATGAAACCATAAATACCATACAATAATACATAAACACTCTCACTAAGAAAAACCCCACTTAAATGCCCAATGAACACAGAAGTACGGTGTGCATATAACTGGACCACTCACACTAAGGTGAAAACTTATCCGGTTTTATTTTTTAAAGAAAAATATTCCTCTTTAAACACAAAGCATGAACTAAAAACCTCCGAGGAACAGCTTCTCCTTCCTTGGAGCATGTTTGACTAAACTGTACAGTGACAGAGCTCCCCAAAGAACACACACATAACATACAGTCTTTCTTTCACAGGAAATAAGGTTTAGGACTTGAAATTGTCCTCCTCACCCTCTCCAGATACCCATTCAATCTAAAAATACTCTGTACCTTACCCCACCCCAGAACACAGTGATGATAATTTCTGGATGCAACATATATCTAAAAAAAAAGGAAAAAAAGGATGGGCCAAATTGGCCCACTCTAGCCTTTTAACAAATGTCTGCCAGAGAGGTTAAGACCATTGTTATTTCCAGGAATGGTGCTTGGAAGAAAAAAAATATAGCAGCATCCACAGGCAAGAGAAGCCCTTCAGTCCAGCTGCCCTGTTACAAGGAACCCGGCCAGGTCAGCAGGGATTCACAGATGTTCCCAGCACCCAGGGAGAGGCAGTGGGAATCAAACATTCACAGGCCTCATCTGTGGCTTGAACAAACAGCCTAAAATTCAGGGAATCTGGCCTACATATGCCAGCAATGAGTTTTTCCCCCCCTAGTGACCAATTTAATGGCTAAGATTTTATGTTAAAAGGTATGATAAACTTCAGAAACCAGCAACTCGTTCTAACCACTCCCTCTATCCCATCAAATAGATATGTGCTTAATATTTGTGACATCTGCCAAACTCCCCAGACTGCGGAACTGGAACCAGACTCCAAAATACAAATCCTTTCTAATTCAGAACAACAAAATCATCTAAAGTATCTGCAAGGTCTCAGAACATGCCTAACAAGCCCATAGCCAAACAAAAAGTACCTGGACATTTTCAATGGAAAGTAGGAGATGGAAAAGGTCTGTAAATAAATCTCATTTATACTCGACCTGATCATTAATTGTTGGTATTATTAAGTCACGTTCAGATCTTTATCAGGCCATTTTGTAAAGATCTTTCCCACTCCATACACTCCAACAGTTTTTACAGTAGGAAAAGTATTAGAAAAATAAAATCTCCCCCCTGAACAATACTGTATGAAGATCAACATCATCAGACACAGGTATTTTTACAGGGGACCACATAAACTCCTGCTTCCTCCAAACCAGCTCTGTACAGAAAAGAGCAGCAAGATAGACACAGTATCTACGAGCTAGATTAAGGCCAACCATAGAAAGACAAACACGGGCTCAGGTCTTCTGAAATGAAGAAACCTTGCAAATGTTTTTGCACATCTGCACGCACACACACACTCACACCCACACGCGCTCGTGTGCGCCTCAAGCAAAGGCTTCACAACCGTGAGAGCACCACGGGAGAGAGTTCTAGCACCAGAATGGAAACTTCCCTCGTCAGTAAGGAACCCCAACGTCTCTCTATTGCTTTGGACAAGGTCACAAACCCCTTCCAAGAACAGTCTGAGTGAGCAGCCACAGAAGTGCAGTGAAGGTGACAGGGCTCCTGCTCCGGGAGGGGGTGTGGAGATGCTGCAGCTCCTGGACAGGAGGAAAGGTTGGTATTGCAATCTGCTCGAGTGTGGAGGTGAAACTCAGCGCAGGCTGGGAGGTGAGAGTGGGAGGTTTGCATACACAGGTCACAGTGCACATCTGCTGGGTGACAGGGACAAGCAAAGCCACGGCACCTTCTGGCAGCTTGTCTGTGTAGGAGGCCTCTGGGTAGGACCAGGGTCTGTGAATGGGGGGTCCCACACTGCACCAGAACACCGTGGAACCCACAGAGCAGAGGCTTAAAGAGAAGCTTGGCAGCTGCTCTGCCATCATCCTGCCTGTACACGTGCTCGGGTGAGCGTGCAAAGTCCATAAAGGGGACAAAAATCTCTTTACAACAAGGTTATGGGTCCGGTTTGGCTACAAGGAACAATTCATGCAAGTTACAAAGAATTCATCATCCATCTGCAGCACGGCTGTGTGCTGCAGGTCTCTCCTGGGGC